CCATTTCCAATGTCTTGCTAGTAAATAAAACAATGCATAATAGAGATTAGAGATAAAGGTCAGATTAGAGAAAGAGTTACCAATTTGAAGCTATTATAAGATCAATTAAGAACTAATGACATCCTGCTTCAGGACAATAGAACTCAGTTTGTGATTACATAGTTAAACAGTGGGCAGCTAGACTGCTAAATAAACATCAGTAAGTGGTAAAGCTGCATTTCTACTAATTTACCCTGGCCATCTCAGGGAAACTGATAACTTGGTAGTTAGTCACATATTGGGCCTAAGACAAAAAGTTAGTATTAAACCTCAGATAGCAAAAATCACAGAAACTCAAGTCATTCCAAGAAAGCAGCATTTTGTTCCGAGACTCAAAAAAACTTAAAGGGAAAAAAAGCAATCCCTCCCTATGTGAAGACCTGCTCCCTTATTCCCACATAAACCCCACCACTACTGCCACAAAAAAATTGAGCCCCCTCAAAACCATCAAGGGCAGTCAAAAGCAACTCTCCATCATATACATAGAACTGAATGTTACACCTTATTTCTGGTCAAGCTACTGACTCATCTGATAGCCTCCTTGACCTTGACTTTGTCCCAAGAATAATGTCCCATATTTACATCTCTTCTACTCTCCCAACCAAGGATTGCCCTCTGGCCATTTTTGTTTCTCCAGACTTCCTTCAGGAATTAAATGAGCCCCATGTTACAGCCCCTAACTAACTTCTGATCATAGGATCAGTTGCTAGGTCCCACCTATAAGGTCACACCTATAAGGTTTTCTTGGGACAGACCATCACTTGAACCTTGACATTTCTGCTACACATCTTGGCAAATACATAAGTGAAAGGCAATCAAACTCCTTTATTAAAAAGTTTTAGGTACAGGCCAAATGTTTTCTTACCAGCTAACAATGATATAACAAGTCTCTGTAAAGCAATTATCATATGTTAAAGAACGAAAATTGACTAATACTCTATTTGAAGATCTGTGTAATAATTGGGCATATTCTTCAATCATCTTTCTTTTAACTCATGCTTTTAGATAAATTGAGAGGCTATAAGGAGCCATAGGCTCTTCCCAAAGGGGTAAGATTTATACATATTAATAGAAACCTTTGACATTTAATAGGGTAAGACTTATTTCACGAACATAATATAGTAATAAGCTGCACTCACTTTATGATTATTTCTTCCAAAAGTAAATCTAGCCAAAAGTAGGGCCTTCTTGAATCCCAACCAGAAGATGTTTACTAATGGCAAAATTATAAGATCCTATGCACCAGGAAAAAGACAGTCTCTTCAACAAATGGTGCTGGGAAAACTTGACAGCCACATGCAGAAGAATGAAAGTGGACCACTTTCTTACACCATACACAAAAATAAACTCAAAATGGATTAAGACCTAAATATGAAACCTGAAACCATAAAAATCCTAGAAGAGAGCACAGGCAGTAACTTCTGTGACATCAGCTGTAGTAACTTTTTTCTAGATAGGTCCCCTGAGGCAAGGGAAGCCAAAGTAAAAATAAACTATTGGGACTACATTAAAATTAAAAGCTTCTGCACAGCAAAGGAAACAATCAAGAAAACTAAAAGGCAAACTACAGAATGGGAGAAGGTATTCGCAAATGACTTATCTGACAAAAGGTTAGTAATCAAATCTATAAAGAACTTATAAAACTCAGTCCCCTAAAAACAAATAATTCAATTAAAAATGGGCAGAAGACAGGAACAGGTATTTCTCCAAAAACGACATCCAGATGGCCAAACAGACACATGGAAAGGTGCTCAACATCACTCATCATCAGGGAAGTGCAAGTCAAAACTACAATGAAATAGCACCTCATGCCTGTCAGAATGGCTAACATCAAAAACACAAGAAACAACAAATGTCAGCGAGGGTGTGCAGAAAAAGGAACCCTTGTGCACTGTTGGTGGGAATGCAAACTGGTTCAGCCACTGTGGAAAACAATATGGAGGTTCTTCAAAAAATTAAAAATAGAATTGCAATATGATCCAGCAATCCCACCACTGAGTATTTACCCAAAGAATATGAAAACACAAATTCAAAAAGATACATACATCCCTATGTTTATTGCAGCATTATTTGCCACAGCCAAACTATAGAAGTAGCCCAAGTATCCACTGGTAAATGAATGGATAAAGAAGATGTGGCATATATATACAATGGAATATTATTCAGCCATAAAAAAGAACGAAATCTTGCCATTTGCAACAACATGGATGGAATTAAAGAGTATAAGGCTAAGTGAAATGAGTGAGTCAGACAAGACAAATACCAAATGATTTAATTCATATGTAGAATTTAAGAAACAAATGAACAAAGGGAAAAAAGAGAGAGGCAAACCAAGAAACAGACTATTATAGAGAACAAGCTACGGTTACCACAAGGGAGGTGGGAAGGGAGATGGGTAAAATAGGTGATGGGGATTAAAAAGTACACGTATCATGATGAGCACTGAGTAATATATAAAACTGCTGAATCACTATATTGTACACCTGAAACTAATATAATACTATATGTTAACTATACTGGAATTAAAATTAAAAACTTAATTGAAAAATTATATGATCCTATCATAAGGCAAATTAACTTGTGACATAGGTTCACCATACAAAAGTTCTAGTGAGTTATGCATTAAGAGGTATGAAAAGACTCAATCTCTTTCTATATATAAAATTATAATATAATAAAATGTAAGTATAAATATATATAATTACAGTATAATACAATATGCAAATACACATATATTATATATACATATGATATCTACATTATTTCTCCCAAAATATACAAAGGGGCAATTTTATTTTTTTTTCAGCTCCCTATGCTGTGCCTTTTAGTCCCATGACTTATTCATTCCATAACTGGAAGCCTATATTTCCCACTCCCCTTCACCCAATTTGTTCATCCCCCCCAGGCAATTTTAACTTTGATACATCACAAAACTAGTAAAACTGTGCTATCTAAAGAAACATATATATCCTAAAATATAATCCACTAGAACGTGCTAGTATCCTATTTTCTATTTAAGAATTTTTAATATTTCATGACAGCAAAAGAAAATTTTAGTGAGGTCATGGCATTAATGTGCTCCTAAAGGTATCTAATTTTAAAATTGAGAGTTATTTCAGAACCAGAGAAAGATAAGAATACTCTGAACTCACTACTAAAACCACAAGGTATATATATATATATATATCTACATATATAGAATGCATTTATCAAATATTTGTCTACTCTCATGACAGTAATATTTAAAAGTTTTTACTTGAAATATATCATTTTAAACTTTCACACCTACCAGAAAAAGGAGACAGAATCACATCTTCCTTCTCTGGAGATGAGAGGACCAAGGTTCATTGGAAGTTTAATGATTTACTTGAGGTTATTAATAAGTTGCAGAGCAAAACCTATAACCTTGGCTTTGGATTACAGAATCATTGTTTTTACAAAAAAGTATGTTGCTAGGTTCTGAAAGGATTTTAAGAAGAATTCTGCCCCAGTTGCTACCCTTAGAAGTTTAGAGACGTCAATGGCATCAGGGAAATCCAAATCAAAACCACAATGAGATACCACCTCACAGCAGTCAGAATGGCTAAAATTAACAAGTCAGGAAATGATAGATGTTGGCGAGGATGCAGAGAAAGGGGAACCCTCCTACACTGTTGGTGGGAATGCAAACTGGGGCAGCCGCTCTGGAAAACAGTATGGAGATTTCTTAAAAAGTTGAAAATAGAACTACTCTATGACCCAGCAATTGTACTGTTAGATATTTATCCAAAGGATACAAAAATAGTGATTCCAAGGGGCACATGCACCCCGATGTTTATAGCAGCAATGTCCACAACAGCCAAAGTGTGGAAAGAGCCCAGATGTCCACTGACAGATAAATGGATAAACAAGGTGTGGTGTACACACACACACACACTGGAATATTACTCAGCCATAAAAAAGAATGAAATCTTGCCATTTGTAACGACACAGATGGAACTAGAGGGTATTATGCTAAGTGAGATAAGTCAGTCAGAGAAAGAAAAATACCATATGACTTCACTCATATGTGGAATTTAAGAAACAAAACAGATGAACATGGGGAAGGGAAAGAAAAATAAAATAAGATAAAAACAGAGAGGGGGGAAAACCACAAGAGACTCTTAACTGTAAGAAACAAGCTGAGGAGCGCCTGGGTGGCTCAGTCAGTTAAGTGTCTGCCTTTGGCTCAGGTCATGATCCCAGGGTCCTGGGATCGAGTCCCACATCGGGCTCCCTGCTCAACAGGGAGTCTGCTTCTCCCTCTGCCTCTGCCCCTCCCCTCTACTCATGCTCTCTCTCTTTCTGTCAAATAAATAAATAAATAAATCTTTTTTTAAAAAAAGAAACAAACAGGTTTGTTGGAGGGGAGGTGGGGGGGGATGGGGTAACTGGGAGATGGGCATTAAGGAGGGCGCTTGATGTAATGAGCACTGGGTGTTAAATGCAACTGATGAATCACTGAACTCTACCACTGAAACTAATAATAATACACGAAATATAACTAAATTGAATTTAAATAAAGAATTTTTTTAAAAAGTTTAGAGACATCAAAACCTCATGGAGGCAATAGGTGTGTTTACTATTTAGGATGACACAAAACAATCAGGTTCAAAAGAGAAGAATGAGTAAGATACCATTATATGTGTGCAGCTGACCGGGGTGACAGAGACCTTGTAGAGAGACTGGAGTCAAATAGCAAGGGCAAGGGACAGGGTGGGGCAGGGGTGGTGTCTACAGTTCCTCCTACTCTCTATACCTGTCTTCCCAGGAACGTGTGGAAAAGGCAAGATCAATCCTCATTTCCAATCTCATACACACTCTTACAACCTCTCACGTAATTATAATGAGGATGTTGGAAATGGGTTACTGGCAATAGTAATAAATGTTTGTACTTTAATATTGGTTAGGAATTTCAATTATAATCAAGTAAATGAACTTACTTCGAGAGAGATTCTCAAGGGCTTTTCCCAGCTTCTTGCTCTCTTGAAGGATGTGGTTCAATTCATCAAAATCACGGCTTTCTGGTTTAATTCGCCAGTTCCACTTAGGATGATCTACTGACCTTGGCACTATGTTTTAAAAAAAATGATTACTTCATAAGCATGCTACATAATGATAAAAATTTACTATTCATCATTATGTGAAAGATTGTATCAAGATCAATGTACAGAATAAAAATGTTTGTTTTGGAAATAGTTTTCTTATGAGCAAACAGAGGGAAGTTATGAAGCTGGGCTTTAAGAAATGTTTTAACTGAACTAGTAAAGGGAAGTGTGACTGTTTATAGAAAAAAGAAAATTCAGGCACTGATTTACAATTAATGATTTCTATAACTTAGGGGAAAACATACAAGCAAATTATATTTTATATCATCTTCTAGCAGCTTAAAAATTACTAATTTCTTCATCAGCAATTAGTATATATTTTTAAGACATTTTGATATCTTCTGATAAAACAGAAGACAGAAGAAACATCTACCTTCACTTCCCCCAAATTCCTTCTAAAATTATATTAAATATTTTTGGGGTCAAATAATTAGTAGAACAAGAAGAGAAGACATTATTAGGCAAGAAATAGCAAATCTTTTTTTTTTTTTTTTTTAAAGATGCGGTATAAATTGAGGAGTGGTAACTGCATCTAGCAAAGTAGAGAATACTGAAATCTAGTCACTGAGGAAAGACAGATGCCCCAAAAGGTGGATATTTCATAACATTTCAACACTCAAGCATCAATCAATCAAGGAAGACAAATGTCAAAGTAATAAAGATATAAAAAACCCATTTCTCAGATTGGAAGGATCCATTAAATGTCCAGAACAATGCAAACCATATTATCACAAAATTTTACAACAGTGGTAAAAAAGAAAAGATCCTAAAAGCTTTCAGGACAGAAACAGCAATCAAGTTCTTGTCAGACTTTTTAATAGCCATACTTGCCCCAGAAGACACAGGAGAAATTCCTTCAAAATTCCAACTGAAAATTAGTTTTAACTTAGAATTTTATACCCAACTAAGGAACCAATCAAGTTACTTATAAGGATTCAAATATTTATCTTGCAATCATTCTTGTTCAGAAAGCTTGTAGTGGAGATACTCCACCAAAATGAATAAATAAACCTAAAAGCGGAAAGACTTGGGATTCAGGAGACAGACGGTCCTCCACAAGAAGGAGGAAAAGAAAATCCTCAGGATCGCAGTGAAGGATGGTCTCAGAAGACAGTTGAGAAAAGGCTAGAAACCAAGAAGCCAAGATTAGAGCAAGAAGACAAAGGGCTACAGAAGAGAGGTCTCTAATTTTTTTTTAATGAAATAAAATATAAAATAAAATAAAATCAAAGTTAGAATTACTTGATGTATTTGATCATATTGAGTGTTGAATACTTTAAGGCAAGGTTTAGTGAAACAGTGAGGGGTACACAGAAAACAAAGCAAATAGAAAAACAAGACAATTATTAGTTCTAGAAACAAATTAATAGTTGGACATCTATGGCTCTACTGAAATTATGGCTAATTAATGCAGTCATAACAACATTGTGGGATATATATTCAACATTTGAAATACTTGCATGAATGTAGTGTGAGGACGAAATGGGCCTGAGGTATGAAACCACAATGTCTTAGAAGGAGGTCAAGACATGATGCCTCAAATTTAAAAAGTAAAAGGGAACTATGTAAATAACTTGTATGTTTGGATATGTAAACTTGTGTACCAAAAGGAACATCTAAAAGAGTTAAAAGTGGCTCCACATTAGAAGCCTATAATACTACTTTCGTTTTCAAACCATATTTTTTTGTTTTGATTAAAATAAAATAATTTTTAAATATTTATATGGTAATGCTATAGCAAAGGCGAGCTCAGACTACTGAAATATTTTTTTCTGTCACCTTTTAAAAAAGTAATTGGAAATATTTACTATAATAAAAATATGCTGATTCTCTGACCCCACAGTCTTATGTCTGGTAAATTATCATAAAGAAATGAGAACACATTCATTTATTTCAGTTAATAGTTTATGGAGGCAAAACTCTAATCAATCCAACTGTTCTTCCACAGGGGAATAAATAAATTATGGCATATTCACAGCATGCTACAGTATGTATTTATTAAAGTAGTGTAACTTAGATCTAAGTTTAGCATGGAGATATATCCACAGCACATTCTAAAATAATAAAAACAAATTGCTCAAGAATGTGTATAGTCTAAAGCCATTTTATAAAGCAGATCAACTCACACATATTTTATATGTTAGCTTGTACAAAGAAAAGGATGTAAAAAGATGCAAACTATTTCAAAGGATGTGAAAATTATAAACTATTTCTGAGGAAGTAGGATTTGAGGGGGCTAAAAGAAGAGAGAAGGATTAAGAATTTAAATTTTGTTAAATTTTTTTAATATAGGGCGCCTGGGTGGCTCAGTCGTTAAGCGTCTGCCTTCGGCTCAGGTCGTGATCCCAGGGTCCTGGGATCGAGCCCCACATCGGGCTCCCTGCACTGCGGGGAAGCCTGCTTCTCCCTCTCCCCCTCCCCCTGCTTGTGTTCCCTCTCTCGCTAGGTCTCTCTCTGTCAAATAAATAAATAAAATCTTAAAAAAAAAAAAATTTTTTAACCAATTGAGCCACCCAGGCGCCCAAAAAAAAAAAAAATTTTAATATAAATCTCCTTTGCTTCCCCTCTAAAAGATTTAATTTGCTTTTATGTACTTTATTAAATGTAGGGCTAGTTTTGCTTTGAATGTGATAAAAGGCTGCAACTGAACGTGACAGGTAAGGAACCTGCTCCAGTCAGCTTACGTTCTTAAAAGAATATACTCCAGAAGGTCTAAATCAATTAAACATGCTTGAGAATATGAGTGAGTAGATATTTATAAATAAAGCTCAATGTTACTGCTGAAATGAACACAACATTCATTAGGATTAATAGCCAGAAATATCAGATAAAAAGTTTGACTCCAATTCTTACCTTTTCTTCATTTTGTTAGTAACACATACTTACATAAAGTAACATTTGAATAACAAAATTCCTTACATGATTTGGATTCTGGTGATGGTGGAGAAATGTTAGACACAGCAAGGTCACTTTTTGACTTTTTAGGCTTCTTTGCATTTAATTGCCAAGGCTTATCATAATTTCTGAAATCCCTTCTTGTTCCTTTATGTTCTGTTAAGACAAACAAACAATATATATAAACTCAACAATAAGTGATTTCAAGATTGACCAAAAACTAAATACATGAAGTCATTAGATATGCCTGGCAAAAGCTATAGGTTACCTCACATCAAAAATAATGCAAATATTCAAAAGTATTTCTTGCTTAATTTCCCATGTAAATTTTAGTTTTGGATTTGATATGATTCAATTTGTATATTAATATGATTAAGATCATTTTAAACTGTGAAAGGCTTCTGGAAAGACTCTAAGGCATGGCTTAACCATTACTTAAAATAACATTCTTTAAATGGGTACTATGGAATAAAGCACTGTATTCTAATGTAAATGAAAACAACTGGGGCTCCTGGGTGGCTCAGTCCATCAGGGAACCGACTCTTGGTTTCAGCTCAGGTCATGATCTCATGGGTGGTGGGACTGGGCCAGTGCTGGGCTCTGCACTCAGTGGGGAGTCTGCTTGAAGATTCTCTGCCTCTGTCCCTCCCCCCACTCTCTCTCTCTCAATTTCTCTAAGGTAAATAGATAAATCTTTAAAATAAAAATAAATAAAAACAACTAAAGACTTACGTAAATTTTACTCATCTGATTTTACCTTATCCATTATTCACTAAGACACATTAAACCATTGACAGTCATCTACATTCTTTCCTTAGCATCATTCATTTTTTCCACTTCTCTATTCAAGAAAGGGTAATTCAGGGTGCCTGGGTGGCTCAGTTGGTTAAGCGACTGCCTTCGGCTCAGGTTATGATCGTGGAGTTCCAGGATCGAGTCCCGCATCGGGCTCCCTGCTCAGCGGGGAGTCAGCGGGGAGTCTGCTTCTCCCTCTGATCCTCCCCCCTCTCATGTGCTCTCTCTCTCTCATTCTCTCTCTCAAATAAATAAATAAAATCTTTTAAAAAAAAAGGGTAATTCAACCAACTTTGTTGAAAATTATAGCTCCCCTTCAAATGTGGTCAAAGTCATACTAATTCCCAAATTAAATGATCTTTCCAAGAGTTCACCCCTCTCGGCATCTTTGCCAAGCATTTCATATTTTTAGACAGGCCTAACTTTGTGGAATATTTTCTTCTCTTATCCTCAGGGCCCTACATTCTCCTCATCTCCATATCACCTATTTGACTCTTCCTTCTCTGTCTCATTCACTGCTTCCTCATCTTCCCCCTTCATCTATGTGACATTCCTTAGAGTTTAGAGTTTCCTTCTGCCTTCCTGTTTAAATTTATAAGTTGTTGAATCATTCTACCTTTATGAATGACTCATCAATCTTTCTCTAGCCACCCACTTGTAAATACCAAATAGACATCATGAAACATTATATGGATTCCTCAAATTTATATTTGAAGGTTGTGCAAAACTAGCTGTTACCTAATTTTACTACCTCCAACATGCCATTCAATACCAAAAGAGGCATAAATATTCTAAAACTCTAGGAATAGAAATATCGGTCTGTGGTCTGCCAGAATGCAGGACATATTTCCACAGATAGGAATAAGACAAAAGATAGGCAAATCAGAAAAGGATTGGAAGATTTCTAGGCATCCATGATATTTGCCCCTATATCAAAGTCATCTGTTTCTGTTCTTCTATGAGAATCTGTCTTTCCACATCCATCCTAGGACCATAATATCTTCTAATGCAACATGGCTAAAGGAACAAAGAATCCTGATCATAAAACAGAGCATTTCATGATGCAAAGAAAAAGACTAAAAAGAACAAGGGAGGAATAGCAAACTGGATTTTGTGGCTTTTTAACTTTTCCACTATAGTTAAGGAGAAAAATCCACATTAATTTAAATAATCTAGCAATGATACTGTTCTTATTTAGTTGGTTGAAAACAAGATGAGACAAAATTACTCATGAACATAGGAGAGACCCATAGGATTCAACTGATAATGGAATTTTAGTAGCAGTCATGATTTCTTCTGTCTCTCTAAAATTTTTGAAAGGGATCCAAATTGTCCTGAGCTATATGTTGAGGGGACAAAGAGTCCACCTATAATATTAACTGACAAACGTAAAACTAGATAGAATACGCCTCGTTTAAATTTGAATAAATGGAAAAAATATCGTTCTAAAAAAATTTCAATATGAAAAGCAACACAGCATTCAAGATACAAAGAAAATTCATAGTTTTAGAGATGATTTACTCTGAAAAACCTTTAAATTTTAGAATGCGGCTAATTGCCTTCTTAATAAAAATAAAGAAAATGGATTCTATGAAACAAACAGAAATGTGAGAGGAGATAAGTTAACCAACTAACCTACAATAAAATGTAACTGCAGACAGAAATGAATAAAGAAGATAAGGAAATATTGACAATAAACCAAAATGCAATACCAACATTTAAATTTGTTTTCAAAGCCAGAGAGAGAAACCTGATACTGCAGAAAATTGAATCAGTGACACAGAGAGCACACTTGACAAATCTCCCCAGAAGTTAGTCAATAAAGAAAGGCAAATATAATGTGAAATGAAATGAGAGGAATGAAGAACAGCAAGGCAAAGTCAATTTACACATAGCTGATTTTCCCAAAGAAGAAATTGAAAACAAATATAATAGAAGCAATAACTAAGTATACAAGAGGAAAACAGTTTTAGGCTGAAGACCTGGATTTGCTGATTGAAAAGATTCACTGAATATAGGAAAAAAAATTTAAAGAAAAAAGATAATCATCGAGATATAGTCCCAGTAAAACTCATCAATATCAGAAAGAAAAAAAAAATCCCGTTAAGTATTTAAGAAAAATAATTAAATATCTAAAAAGACATAAAAATAAGGAAGGCTTCAGGTTTCTGCATAGTAATATTAAATGACAGACTTTTAGATGATGTTGTGTCCTGAGTTGCTAGATACATTTGATGGCAATAAGAGGACAACTTAAGATATTTTCAAAAGATATTATACCAAAACACTTTGAATACTGAGATAATTTCTAGCTAATTAGAACGTGCACCAGAAGAAACAATTCAAAATTGCAGTCAAGGTGTAAACTGGCATCATTTACTATCACCCGAATTATAACTTCATCACTTATATTCATATCCAGGAATTATCCTATGCTTTTCCTTCTCCTTCCTGTCATACTGTTTCTCTCTAAAATTTTGCCCCTTCACCTTCTGGGACATACATTCCAGGTAAACAAACACTCTTCTATCCTCAAGACCCCTCTTTCATGTTTTAAGAAACCTCACGCTTTCCACAAGAGTGCTCTCTCCTCTGCAGCTTCCTGGGACAGAGGGTTCATTCCCCTACATGGTACCGGCCACAGGCTGGGTTTTCCAGGCCCAACACCGTTAAGCTGGAAGTCCCTCCTCTCTAGTGATAAATGCTGCCTGTCTACACTATTCACTGCTCCTCACTGTTGCCATCACTCCTCCTTATTACTCCACAGCCCAACTCAAGATACTGGCACAGTCTCCCTTGACTTTTCAACAACTTGAATGCAACTCTGGTTTCATCTTTTTAATGGTCAGACTAATCATGCATAAAGTCTCATTCTTCCTTGTCCTCCCTAACTCTGAAAAGCTTCACTTCCCTTATAATTAAGATCACCCCACAACTAAGGCTACCAACAGGACCTTCTCATCATCTGGACTCACTCCACCTCCAAAGTCTTGATCTCAAATATCACAATTTCCTTCCTTCTAATCTCTCTCATATTTTCACTGCACCTACCCCTGCACCAGCCTTCTAAAAGTCTTCATCTTCAGCTCTCTGATTTGCTTTTTTGTCTAATTATTTTCCTATCCTTGCTCACTACCCTCTCATACCAGACCATGTGCTTTGATACTTGAATAAATTCCTCACAAATGTCCTCGACTGTTTTGCAAAACTGTTCTTCGGCCCTCTACCCTTGCCATGTCACAACCACAATTCTCACTCATTCCCTCAAACAGTTGGTTCTGCTCCCTTCCCACTGCTTCTGGGCACTGTTGGAGAAAATCACAACTGTCTGATGGTTTCTAGGAGTCATTCATATCTTCAACTTCAGAGAGGACTCAGAATTGCCTCACAGTCTTTTTTTTTTCCTTTTGCCAACTATTTTCTCCTTTTCCTTGGTGACTTTTCACAATTGGCATCACTACAATCTCCCCTCTTCAATTCCCAATCCTCTTGTTCTCAGCAAACAACCTCACTTCTTAATAAAAAGACAAAATTTCAGGCATCAGATATAATCTCACACTTGCTTTGCCCCAGTCCATCTCCCACTCTACTGGCAAATTTGACAACTTCTTCCATTCTTTCACTCTCATAACTTTAACAATTATATATGATCCTAAATGCTACTCTGTGACTCCTGCCTTGACCCATCCCCAGAGTTTTAGACTCACATCTAACTGCCTGCTGGAATTATTGATGCCTCACAAAAACTCAGTCATCAATAGAAGTGGACTTATCATTGTCCTCTGTTCCCATCTTGCTTTGTTAAATAAGCATTTATGCCATTACCCAAGTCAGTAAATTGGAAGTGATAATAATCTCCTCCCCTCCTTCACCCTCTCCAAGCAGTAAGTCATCAGTACTTGTTTTTTTTTAAGATTTTATTAATTTATTTGAGAGAGAGAATGAGATAGAGAGAGAGAGAGCATGAGACGGGGGAGGGTCAGAGGGAGAAGCAGACTCCCTGCTGAGCAGGGAGCCCGATGCGGGACTCGATCCTGGGACTCCAGGATCATGACCTGAGCCGAAGGCAGTCGCTTAACCAACTGAGCCACCCAGGCACCCCAGTCATCAGTACTTGTGCTACTCAGAAGTCTAAGATGATCCCCATGATCTCTGCCCCTGACATTATGTCTTATATAATTCCCCTCCCCTTAAGTGTAGTAGATAGGACCTTTGACTTGCTTCAAACTAACAGAATATGGTAAAGGTGATGGGATGTCAATGTTATGATTATGTTATTTTATATATGCTAAGTAGACTTGAATGACAGAAATTCCCTTGCTGATTTTAAAGAAGTAAGCTGTCATGATGTGAAAGAGCCATGTGGCGAGGAACTGTGGATTGCATCTAGATGTTGACAGCAACCCTGGGCTAAAATCCAGCATGAAAACAGGAACCTCAGTCATACAGCTGCAAGGAAATTAATGCTGCTAACAACCTGAATGAGTTTGGAAACAGGTTCTTTCTTATTCCAGCCTCCAGATGAGAATGCAACCCAGCTGATACCTTGATTTTCACCCTTATGAGATTAGACAGGGGATCTAGTTGTGGTAGGTACAGACTTCTGACCCATGGAAAGTATGAGATACTAAATATGTGATGATTAAAAGTGCAGAGTTTAACATACTACTATCTCTCCAGATAATATAATTTATAAACACGGGCTCATATGAGCTTCACTGGGCTCACAGATTTCATATGGTCTGCCTTTACATGATGGGTGCCATCTTTGTACCTACAAACCAGAGTTCATGCCTATATACCCATGCTACTTAGAATCTAAACCCAAGAAAGTGAGGCCAGGAAAATGCAAGAGTTCTCTTTTATACGCCAAAAGTTTGTATCCTAGTTTCCTATATAATGCAGATATCTTCTATATGGATAACTGCCAGCAGAGAGCTCTACATTCTTTCAGAGGATACCCTATTCCCTACCCATTTTAGTGTGGCTTTGAGACATGGTCTCAAGAAGGTACCGATATGAGAATACAGCCTAAGAAGACCAAAATCCTTTTGGGGGATCTCATAAAGCATGAAGAGGATAAGAAAAGTGAAGAGGTCAGGAATGCATTTGGAGTCCTGTCAGTCAGATTCCCATGGGAATTAGGCAAGGAGTTGGCTATTGACATAACAGGCATAAGAGATTTGGTTTTAGAAGTAAATGTCAAACCAACAAAACAGTATGTAGAATAAAAAAGCTGTCAGACACACAATCCATAAGCAAAGATCAAAGTCGGGTTCTACCCAATTATCTTAACCAGTGCTTACTGGGGAGATGAGGTTATTGCAGACTTGGTAAGATTGGTTCCCCAATGTCCAGAGTAAATGAATCTTCCTAAAGTTAAACTTACTACATAAGATAAAAATAGGCACCACAGGAAATAGAGAATCATCATCAGTTTGGGCAAAGTGAAAGGTAACTTTTTTAAAATCTTTTTTTACCTCTCTATAGGTAAGCTATAATCATTTAATTCAAAGTCTTCATGAAAAGAAATAAGTTTAGAATAATTAGTTTGAATTCACACAGAATGAAATCTTTTTTTGCAAATCTGAATCTTCTATTAAAATTGAACACACACAGATTCTCATAATACATAGCATAATATATAACAATATATTCAAATTCAAGAATATTTTATGACAAATTAAATTTTTTTTCTTTTTGGAATATAATTCACATATAGTGTTATATTAATTTCAGGTGTACAATATAATGATTCAACAATTCTATACATTACTAGTGGTCATCAAGCTAAGTATACTCTTGATCCCTTTTATCTATATCACTCCTATTCCCCCACCCCCCCACCTCCCTTCTGGCAACCAACAGTGTGTTCTCTGTATTTAAGAGTCTTTTTTGTTTGTCTCCTTTTTTCTTTATTTGTTCATTAGTTTTTTCTCTTAAATTGCACACATGAGTGAAATTTTAGCATATGAGTGAAGCTGCAAATGAATACATGAAACCCTTGGTAACCATCTACATTTATCTTATTATAATCAAAAAGACTTTTGTACATTTTTACATTAAATATATAAAAATCAACTGTAAAATATACTTTTTCACTTACCTGATGTTTCACTTTCTGCCCAGAGAGCTGCAGATCCAGATAAAGTTCTTTGAAGTTGTCCGCGGTTTCCTTGTTTAGACTGAAGATGGTCAATGAGAAATGGGATTGGCTGGTCAGGTGTTTCAGTTATTAATTTGGTCATTAATTCCTGAAGGCAGAATAGAGCAAACATTTATATCTAATAATAATAGTGAACACTTACATAGCACTTACTAATGCCAGGCATGGCTCTAACTGCTTTACAAACAGCAAATGATTGAGTCCTAATAATAATCTTTTAAGGCAGGTACAAGTTATTGTCCTCCTTGTGAGGAAAGTAAGGTGCAGAAATGTAAACTATGTTATATAGCTAACACATGCAAAGCCAAAATATATTTACTTATATTTATTTTTATTATTCTACTTGGCCAAAGAAATACTAGAACTTTGATCTAAATTCTTTTAAAAACTATAGCCCAAGAATTTTAAACTTCAGATTACTATTTTGAGAAATGCCATTACAAACTAAACTTTTGGTAAACCTTGGTTTACCAATGTTATTTTCCTTCTTAACCATTTATATATATCCCAAAATGAAGGAAATTTTGTTGGAATAAAAGAAACAAGTAACAAGCCACAGACTCACAGAAACCAAAAAGTGTCTTAAACTAGTCTCCAAACAATACAGAATTTACTTTTTCCAAAAGCCCTAATGGGTATTCATTCTTCTTCTTCTTTTTTTTAATGAGTTAAGCAATGAAGATTTCTCCACCTGCTGAAGCAGCCTGTTCTATTTTTGGACAGCTATAATGAAGCTTTAAATTGGGTGGAAAGCTGCCTGAGGGTAATATCTATACATTGTTTTTTTCCAGTCAGGAACAGCAAAGAGCAAGCTCCAATTTGTGGTCAGTTAGAATCCCCAGATTGTTCCCAGATGAACAGCTGCCAAGCCACATGGATATCATTTTGTGCTGTGTAACTAAGTTTGTGAACTTGTAAGCACCATTGTACGTTCATATCAATCACGTTTCACTTTGCTCGTTTTAGCTGAGAATTCTAGTCTGTCAATTATCATTTTAAGTTTAGATTCTGTGAGAGGCAATGGTCTTATGAGTGGGCCAGAAAATCAGGTATTAGGAATGCTAACAGAAGGAATACTGGAAATTCCCCCATTCCATTGTCTTCTTTTGTTGGTGGCCTATTTCCTTTGCCTTGAATGCTCTTCTCTCAGATGTTCAGATGGCTGGCTTGTCATCACTTGTCTCTAATGATATCTTAAGAGAGGCTTACCCTAATGAATCTTCGTAAGTTTTTATCACTTCATTATCTTATTTTCTTCATAGCATTTAGTACTCTCCAGAATCATCTCATTAAATACTTGCTCATCTTTTTGTCCCTGCCTCTGCTCATCCTCTACTACAGCACTAAGAACATGGGCTGGCCTGGTTTGATCTCTACTCTCTCCCTAGGGCCTGGAACTCTTCATAGCTCATAGATGGTACTGAATGAATGAATGGATTAATTAATTAATCCTTGGTTTACTGATCCCAGGTAAATATTAGTAATTAAAGTCCCATAATGTCCTAATAAACAATTAAAGCATTCACAGATTTCTTGGCCCAGCAAAATACACTCTTCAAAATTCCTATACAAGAAACTGCTGCCATGATATCTCAGGTATATTTGCTGACATTTCTAACAGTCTAGAAATACACAGATTTATCTGAGTAGAGGTTAAATGGAATTTGTAGATGACAAGATTCCAAGGTGATCTCAAAGACATGGATAAAATAATTCAAGGTATCTCAAATGTGCAGATTGAACACAGAGCTGGAACTAAAAAGAGCAAAGGATTTCTAACCAAAAACACTGTGTGGCAAAATATTTATTGGACAAATGTGATTTTTTATATATATATTCTGAAAAAGAAGTAAGCAAACAACCAGTTGGCACAGGTCTTCTTTATTTCTGTTTTTTAAGATCTCAACTATTAGTTATAAGTAAAGAAATCATTTCTATACTGTGGTTAAAACAATGCAGGGTTCAATTAAACCCCAATCATACATCAGTGAAATGCAATTTAAAACATTTTGGATTTTGCTTCTGTAGAAAAGATGTATTTTATTCTATTTAAATTCATTGTATGTTACAAAAAAAATAGAAAAATAAATAGAAGAACCAACTAGATTACTCTTGTCACAGAAGGCCTGGGCACTCAGATAAAGCAAAATCAGGTCAGATAATAAGGCTTTAAAGCCACAGCAGTTTCTATTCTGAAACCTCTGAAGATCTCATGCACTTCTTTTTACCTTTCAAATTAGATGGAAAGTTTCTGTGGGTATTTTCTTTCTTTTAAAATAAACTGAAGTGTTCCTGTATTGTCTTTAGACAATGTCTATAGTCATAATAAACCAAGTAATCACTGTTAAATTTTAAAAATATCATTAGTCTAGTAACTAATTTTGGATATCCTTATATTCCATTAGTGAGTATATATTAACGACACAGGACAAATTCAGTCATAAATAAAATGAAAATAGTTTGTAATAGGGTATGTTGGGTACCTTGACTGTACAACAGTATAGCTTTAGATTATTGTGTTTATAAGAGGAATTATCCTGACTCTCACTCAATCCATCTAACCACCAGCATTTGGACGTGAATAATTTTGAGGACTTGAACTGGACAGAAACCTCTTTTCCAGACGTGAAAATTTAAAACCTCAGATTTGCAAAGATGCTCTTGGTAATAAAAAGGTTGATTTCCACCACCACGACCCCCAACCCCCCAAAGATTTATATACACACAGACACAACTTCAGGGCAGATAGACTGGGGAAATGAGAGGGGAGACGTGCAGCTAGAATGTCGGGTTGGCAACAGAAACCCCACTGCTGAAGTTTCACAGGGATCATTCACATAGGGCAAAAAGTACTCCAGAACAGCAACGGGTGTCAGGTAAGGAGGCCGAACTTCCGCGGAGGGAGAGGAGGCTTATCTACAATTCTTACCATCAGCGCAACAGCTGTGACATGAAATTCCCTGGGTGCTAGAACCTAACCAAGATGGAGACAATGCGCCTGGCCGTCCACACATGGGCCACATGTGGACCGTGCTGGGTGTCAGCTGGCAGAGCCCGCTGACGAGCGCCGACAGCGCTGGCACCCGGGCCAAGCTCGAGACTTCCCGCTCTGCTGCGACGGCGGCTCTGCGCAGGCGCAGACACACGCGCCAGCGCGCGATCCCCGACCGACCCGCGTCGTGGAGGTACCCGCCCGCCTGTCCCGGAGCCGTAACAGCGCCCGAGCGCCTAGAGAGCAGAGTCCTTAGGTAACAACGCCTTTACTGCCCCGGGATGCAGTCTCCTCCGCAACTTCCCCAAAGGAGAGACACCGACGCCGCTCGTTGGACTCCGCCCCAAGCCTGTCCCGGGATGTAGACCTCCCCGGAGTCCGGGAACCAGGACACGCCCTGAAGACGCCCCCTAACCCTGTGGCCTCGAGGCTGGCTGCAGTGGATCAGGGGATCCCTGTGTCTGCCGAGTCCTGCCCCTTGCCGTAAACCCACTCCTCCTGCCCCGCCCAACTTGCGCGAGACTGCTGCCTCAGACCCAAAGGGGATGCTGGAACCACCGTGTGGAGTTGCTCCCCAGCTCTGAGGACCAGGCACCGGACCCTGCCTTCCAGCTCAATGACGAAAGCCCTCCCAGAGCTCAGGCCAACAGCTCAGTGGCTGCCCTGAACTTAGGCAAGATTTGGAGAGGACCCGCCTGGGCCTCTTCTACTAATGGCCTTGCCTGCCCGCTTTTCAGCCGGGAATCAGGCCTATAGTGTGGGGCGCCCTCCTCATCTGCTGCTTCAGTGACATTCAAGTCTTCCTTCAGCCAAGGATCCCTGGGAGATGTTGGCCGTGGGAACATAAAAATTGAAACAACAATGGAAGTCATAGCACTCCTGCCTTGGAACAAAAACATTTGCGGAAATTTTAGGCTAAGGACTTGGGGATTGATAAAATGTAGGTATTAATTTTAATGTGATCAATTTGCACTTACAAGCTTAAATTTGGGGCATTAAAGTTGCAAACAAAATATATTAACAACTGTCACCAATGGAGGATTTAATTCATACTTAACTAATATTAATAATATTACTAATGTAAATGAAATGCAATAGAAGACAGGATAAGGTAGTGATTAACACCAAAGCTTTGAAATCAGAGAGACACTTTTTTTTTAAATTTTTATTTATTTATTTGAGAGAGAGAATGAGATAGAGAGAGCATGAGAGGGGGGAGGGTCGGAGGGAGAAGCAGACTCCCCGCCGAGCAGGGAGCCCGATGCGGGACTCGATCCCAGGACTCCAGGATCATGACCTGAGCCGAAGGCAGTCGCCTAACCAACTCAGCCACCCAGGCACCCCAGAGAGACACTTTTTAAAAATCATCTTCTACTTACTAGCTGTAAGACTTTGGGCAAGACAATCACTTTAACATTCAAAAGGACCATTCACTAAATGTGAATGATACTACTTACATCATAGAGTGGCCAGGAGGATTAAATAAAAAGATTGCAAAGCACTCATAAAGTGCTTGGAATATATGTGGCCTACTATAACAGGTTGTCTACATTTCCTTCTAAGGCTGGGAACTGTTTCCCAAAATCTCCTTTATATGATCTGGGTTACAGTTTCCTACTGTGAGGAATTCAGAGGAGACTTGGAAAGAACATAGAGAGGCAGAAGAAATTCTCCAGAGTTAACTGCAGGCAGATGTGAGGGCAGATGAGGAAGTCACAGCAGTTTCCCAGCAAATTTGTGAAAACCACTGCAGACTGGGATAGCTGTGGGAGCTCTGCAAAGGTACTGGAGAACTTCAGCAGCTTCCAGGCAAGCATTTGAGAGCCACTTACTTCTGTGCTCCAGGCGGAAACCTTCAGGGTCAGCTCCTCCTGCCTTTGGCGACAGCCCCACAACCTTCAGCAGCATTTCCCTGGCCTCTGTGTCCCACCTTCTAACTCACCATCACATAAACTGGTTTGCTTTAAACCCTATCTGTTTTCCTGACTGAACCCGTAATGCTCCACCCAAAAGAAGTGTTACCTTATATTTTCATGTTTACCTATTACTTTTATATATTTACATAATATTTTATATATTTATGTTTATTATTACTACTACTATCACATTACCATTTTTATCACATTTTATAGCATACACTTTTTGATGCTATAAATGCATACTGCATCTTTTTATAGGCTTTATTTTTCTGGTTATAAAACTAAGATATGTCCTTTTAATATAGTTTATTACCAACTACAGTCTTTAACTTCATGAATATACTATATATTGAGACAGTCCCCTGCATTAATATCTGTTTCCTTGTTAATTATAATTTTGTTACTGGTACCAATTCAAATATATTAATTTTAAAAATACACATATGAAGATAACATTCTTTTTAAAAATTTGAAAAACAATTTAAAGAACCATTAAGTAATTACTGAATGCAGATTTATATTATATAACATATAAGGACTAATGGAATTTAGGGCCATTATAGCTAGTAATAGACAACCGTGTACTATATGTAACATTAGCACAATTAATGAGCTGGAGAATGGATACTAATTAAATAACAATGATGAGTGTCTCAAAATACATTTTAATGTCCACTAGATAAAAGCAAAACTATGAGTGAGGACGTAGCTCATCATAGAGTCATTATTAAAACTGGAATGAGTAATCAGTCAACAGTAGAAATTATTTTAATAAAAGATCATTTCATTTAATGAAAGCTAAGGGACTCCTTAGTTAAAAAACAAACAGAAAAAGCACATATGTACACACAAACACCAAATTTTACATAACATTCCTGGTGTTTACCTATCCACAGGCTGACCCTCCGAGGTTCCAGGTTAGGAACCCTTGTTCTGGGTCGCACAACGTACAGATAGCATGGGATTCTGCCCCAAAATTACTTACCTAATTACTTCCTTAGGAGTAAGTTACTTTGTACTTCATTACCCTAAGAGGTAAGTACTACTTTGTTCCTCTTAACCTCAGGAGAAAGTTATCAAGAAACAAAATTAAAGCCAGTTCTAAAATCTCAGGACTTTCTAGTCTTTTTGTTAAATCAATAAACATGCAGGACAATTACAGTCAATAATGGAGGTGGTGTCAATCAGATATATTTCTTACTCAACATCTACAATTACCTTAAATATTAATTGCATATGGCACATTATCATCTGTAGAATGTTATTTTAGTTCAAAACTGTATTAAGATCTGATCACTGAATTAATTCTAAATCTGCACGTTTCAATTTTCTGTTTTTAATTAGATCTCTTAAAAATATGCATTTGAAATCTCAACCTTCTGAACGCCCACCCCACCCCCACCACCCAACTATATGTCATAAATAGGCAGGTAATGGACATTGGGTTATCAACAAATATATGAGAGAAGTCTACTTAAAATTCAGTTGTCCCAGAAACACTTTTTTCTGAAACATTTTTTTTAAGATTTATTTATTTATTTATTTATTTATTTATTTATTTATTTGAGAGAGAGAGAAAGAGAGCAGGAGAGGGGGAGGGAGAGGGAAAGAATCTCAGGCAGACTCCATGCTGAACACAGAGCCCCATATAGGGCTCGATCTAATGACCCTGAGA